AGCGTCCGAAGAGAAAAAACCCCAAACAACTCTTGAATTAAGCAGGAGCAGGCAGAGCCTCGCCTGCGCTGCCCAGCCCCCGGTCAAAAGGGCAAAGGGGCCCCCCGGCAGCGCCGGGCACCCGGGGAAGCAGGAAGGCCCCAGCGAAGGGGAAGCGCTGCCGCCCTCAGCCCGCTCCGAAAGGCGGCAGACGAAAGACAAACCTCGGCAACGATCAGGTGAAAAGCCTCGTGGCAAAAGGAGTTTATTTGTAAACGGCGCCCTGTTCCTGGATGACCGCAGCAGCTGCACAGGGCTGGCAGAGCGCGTCGGGGGGGCAAGGTGGGGAAGCAGGAAGGCCCCAGCGAAGGGGAAGCGCTGCCGCCCTCAGCCCGCTCCGAAAGGCGGCAGACGAAAGACAAACCTCGGCAACGATCAGGTGAAAAGCCTCGTGGCAAAAGGAGTTTATTTGTAAACGGCGCCCTGTTCCTGGATGACCGCAGCAGCTGCACAGGGCTGGCAGAGCGCGTCGGGGGGGCAAGGTGATTTTACACACCTTCAAGCGTTTGTGAAAAGCGTTGCTGAACATGAGCTTTTCAAAACACGACTCGAGACTGGCTCTGAAGGCACAGCTCGGCTCCCTCTCCACAACTTGTTTCACTCTCAGGGTCGCAGCTCCAGGGACCAGAAAGTAAAAGTACCTTGGCTTCCCCCCTCCACCTCTTGGTACATTTGTATTAACAGCTCCACGGAGGGAGCAGCTGCTTTGAAATTCAAGCTATAAAAGTAACTCAGCCTCTTCGTCCATGCAGATTTCAGAGACAGAACTGCCAAAGTTAGCAAAGTGTTGCTCTCTCCACTTAAGTTGCAGCCTTGTTGAGTTTTGGCTATTTTCCTGTTTGTTCATTCATTGCTGTTCACGGGGCTATTCAAAGCAGCAACTGAAATGTGCCATCTGCTGGGCACAGCGCCCTGAAATAAGGAGGAAACACATCACCCAGACTCTCTTTTGAGTGGCAGAATTAAGAGTGTGGTTGGTCACTGAAGCATTGGGATGCAGGTCTAGAGAATACCACTACAGGTCACATCTCAGAAAGAGAATCCACACGGTGCTCCAATAAGTGATCCAGCAAGCAAACACACAGAATACCACCAAAAAAAATAATCAGATAGTGCCTCTGCAAAGCAACTTAACCTAAAATCCATTTAATATTGAAAGTGCAGTATTTAAAAAAACAAAACCCCCCAAAAACTAAAGTAGCACTTCAGCTCCTCAAACCAAGCTAGTAGTGGATAAAGGATAAAAAGAACAGGAAACACAGAATATTTCAGACAGGACAGTCTAAATAAAAAAACATTGTGGGTTTTTTTCCCCCCACTCTTACTTATATAATAATATTAGCAAACATAACCCATAACATTTTGTAGTGCATTTGTCAGTTTACTTTTGAACAGGGGCTTTGTTAAGTGCCCTCAATGATTGTCTCACCTCTAAATTCACTCCAGAGAAGGAAACTGTTCACAGATCTCTTCACTGAAGCAAGATGGTTCAGATATTCTTATTCTGAGCCAGAGCTGGAAGCTCTGTGTGACAACCTGCAGGCTAGACAAGTTCCCTGAAGTCATCCCAAAAGAGAAGTATGACGGGCAGGCTGCAACAAGGCTCTGAGCTCTAGGTATCACCTCCTTGCCCACCCACAAGTACAAAACCCCAATACTCCAGCAATACATTCCCATTTATAATCTTACAGGTCCAATATACCGAGCTTTTAGTTCCAAATTGTAGAAACATTTACTTCAGGGCTGTATCTAAAATGAGTACAGCTATCTTGGAGTACAAAGTTGCTCCTGCCTGGTCTTGGTTTTAAAAAGACGCTCTTTTGAGGAGGCATCTGATGATACACACACACGTATTTGTTTTTCTCTCTAGGATGATCAAACAGAAGAGTGAGTTAGTTCAGTCTGTATCAGAAGGATTAAACAATGGAAAAAGGATACAGTTGAAAATAAAAACTGCAACTGCTTCAACATACTCTTCACAGCTTTAGTGAAAGGGTAATGTATAGATCTCTGAAGTCACACTTGGATTAAAACTAGCTTTACAGCTCTTTCTAAAAGAGCTTTCTTTCCCCTCATGTCAAAGATAAAATAGAAATAAAAGCCGATATTAAAAAGGGGAAAAAAAGTATACCTTGATGTAAGCTAAATCTCCAAAGCCATTCTGAGCAAGATCAGCCCTGACTCAGATTTTCCTAAATTTAGATGAACTTCTTACTGCTTTCTGGAGTTGCTAATGCTCTGGCTTTAATTTATTTTCAGGTTAAACATCCAGAATTAAAATGAACTTTTCACCACTAATGCATGTAAGAGCAACATGCAAGCAGTTTCAGTATAAATAAACCTCTCTTTTTTTATTGCTTTAATTGCATAGCCTAAAACAAAGTGCTGGGGAGTGACATACATATGTATTAAAAAACGTAAAAGTGCTGGAAGGAAGTGGAAGAATCGGCAGGTACGAGGTGACCGCAATTTGCGAGCAGAGCTTTTGTGCTCTGCATTCAGCACAGTAATCATTTATTCAGAGAAAAGAGCGAAACATCCCGGAGGCTGCGCAGGCTGGTGCTGATGTCGCGCCTCTGCCTCAGATTGCATCTCCCGGTGTGTTGGGTCATGTAGTTTTCAGGCACACGTCGCCTCCGTGACAGGATATCCACCACGTGGCTAAGCTTGGACCTGATAGCGGAGTAGTGGAATTGCCTCTCTTTATGCAGTTTTTGGAAATATTCTGCCCTGTGACTGCTGGAATATTCAAAGGACCGGAGAGAAGAGAGCGAGCCAGTAGAGCTTGCAAGAGAGCACTGGGATGACGACGAAGACAGCGATCGCAGACTAGAACTTGGCATGGCCTTTCCAAACAGAGACGATCCTTCTTTTGACATTTTTCTGTGAAGCAGGGGTGTTTCTGTGTACTCATCTTCCTTGGTCTGTGTCACTGCAGCCTTCAGCAAAACTGAAGTCTGAGTGCCCGTCATTCTGGCAGCCACAGAAGCCTGAGTGCCAGTTTCTTTGGTCACGGCACTGGTCTGTGTGGCAGCGCTACATGCCGTCACCACAGGCTTCTCTCCCCAGGGGCCGGTTTGAGTTGATGCATTTTTCCGTCCCACTATGGCCTCTTGATGGCTGAAGCACTCCTCTTCACAGAGGCAAGAATGCCCCAGGCTACAAGGTTTGCCTCCAGGAGCATCTTCAGCCTGATCTAGTTCTTTCAACAGTTTCTTTGGAGTACTAGACAGTCTGGCAAACTCTGCTCTCAAGTTGCCTTCCACAGTATATTCTTGAGGGGACTCTATTCTGTTCACCAGGTGATCAAACATCCCACTGGTCCTGCAGCTGGATGGCCACTTAGGGTTAATGGGCATTGACTGGGCATAAAGAATCCTGAACTGAAGGTCAAATTGTTCAACCACTTGACCTGACAAGAGCAGCAAGTTGCTGCTGTTCAGCTTCCCGTCGGACCATGTGAAACTGTTGAAAACAAACCAAGATTCACAGTTAATCTCCATCCCATTTCAACATGTAATTACAGATGGAAAGACAGCTTAGAAGTGCTGTGCATAAGGAAGTTATAAAGTCGACAGACAACTCACTCGCTCTTCTTCAGAAAGAACTGTTTAGCCATGGCCAAGTTCTTCACTAGCAACAAGTTGTATAAACCCGCTTTCCAGTTTTGTGTTAGTCCTACTTAGGCTCAGCTAGTCCACTTGCCACTGGTGTTCATTAACACCAGGCAAATGGCAAAGTTAATGCATCCTTCTTGAAGAAACTCCCTCTTTCACAGCTTCACCAAGCACCAGCAGACCCCAATACTTGCCTGTAGGAGCCTGTTGTCACTCTGATTCCGTCGATTAACATGAACTTCTCATGGACTTTTCCAACAATTTTGGCACCTGACCTCATGCAGTATATGTTCCCGGTGAGCGTTCGAACTCGCATCAGCTGTTTCAGGAAAGAAAGGAAAAAAAGTAACATCACATTTAAGTTAATTCCTCAAAGGTTTTGATTGGGAATTTTACCTCGAAGCAAGTACACACACTATGGAAGACAGGAATGAAATGAACTTCCTTACATTGACTGCATGTGAGTGTTACTAGTTCCACAGTGCTAAACTTCTGCAAGGAGAGTCTGTGGAGAGAACAGCCAGTTCTATTTAGTTACTGCCCATGGAGCTCAGAGTATTTCACCATCCAGAGAAACTCTCACTGAGGTGAGCATAAGTCTGTTCCAACTACAACACTGTCATGTTATCTTATATTCAGAGAATTAAGTAAATCACCTGCATCATGTCATCCAAACCCTTTACACAACAACTATGTATTAGGAAAGACTGATGTTACCAGAGCTATACCACCCTTGAGATTCTTGCATTTCTGTTTCACTTAGCAAGCAGGTCCTTGAGCTAAAGAATACAGCTACTTAGCCACAATTTTCAAGCCTTTAATTTTGCAAGATCTGTCTCAGGACAGGGATCACAGCATGTGCTCCACCTGGCACATGGGGCTGTTGCACAGCACGGCCGTACCTCCTACGTAGGGGTAGTGCAGGGTAGCAGCTGTGCCTTTTCTGTGTGGTTTTTGCTGAGTTTGTGAGCAGTTCCACATGTTGAATTAGAGACTGTATTGAAACCACGCAATAATGAGCCTTGATCTTCAGGAGCTGAGAAACATTTCAGAAAATCCCATTTTATATCAGTTATGAAGCAGACAGGATGTTTTTAGTCTTTCAGGGGAATCTGATGTTTTATAGAAGATTATCTTTGATATCCAGTACCGTAAATTGTACCACAAAACAATAAAAACAAACCACACCCACTCGCATTTAGTACTTACATCTTCCTGCTCAGGACAAACTCCCAAATTCTTGCACATTTCCAAGAAATGGGGTAGAAAGTCTTGGTCGAGAAGAATATAGACAGGGACTTTACGGTTGTTATAGGCATCCTGAAGGTCACCAAAGATATCTATGTCCGTGAAGGAATCCATTACAAGGGCAATCACCTGCAAGAAAAGTGACAACACTTGTTCTCTGGGTTTATTTTACACAAGGTCAGATCACTGCCTCCCCCAGCCATTTTCTCCCAATGCCATCATCAAGGCCAAATTCTTTGTCCTGCTGCGCAGGCCCTGGGAAGTTATAAACTGTTTTTGTATTCCCACCATGATTCTGTAAATTCATCGTGCCCTGGAGTGCAAAGCCCAATCCTGAAGAGGTCGTTTTTCCTTGTAAGCGCTGTTGCTTTTGTACACTTGCACAGCTTGCTTTCCTGCATTATCTCCTGTGACCTGGCATTTTGGTTAACACCGGGGAAGCTACCGCAGCAGAAGCAAACCAGACAAGCCGTCTCCACTGCTGTTCTTCCCGCATGGCATACCTGCTACAAATAGCTGCTGCCTGCAGAATTAGCTGGAGTGGCCTCCTTGCTGTCACAGCTGGACATCTCACAAATCACAACCGTTTTCTCTTTGTGAGGTAGGAAGGGAATGCTGTCCCTATAAGTTGCCAAGAGATAAACTAGTCCTGTGACAACACAAACTGAATGCACTGTTTCCAGACTCTTAGTAGATGCGTTCAGAGATTCCATCCAATACCTGCACAAGAAATCCTTCCACTCACTCAACAGCTCTTTACAGAAGGCAAGTCCTAAGATGGGAGGATTTTCTCTCAACAGGCTGAAGACGACAGTTCGACATACATGAACAATCTCTCCAGCTAATTCCGAGCCTCCCTCATGCACCGCTTCAAGGCTACAATTCTCACCCTGCAAAACCAGCAACATACATCTGTGTGGGGACACAAAGGCATGAAGGATGTGGCTGCGTGAGTTTTTCTTTTAGACCATCAACGACAGCGATGACACAGCCTGCCCTTATCAGATAGATAAGCAATACACTCAAGGCTTATATGAACGCACCGCAGCAGCTCTGTGTGTGGCATTGCTTGTACTCGAAGGATAGTTCCCACAAGAACAGGCTAAGCTTTGCATTCCCACCTGTGCTCTGTTCCCCAAGGGATCAGCTCTGCATGGATGAGTTCTTAAGTGTTACACACACCAGCACATTGGTATTTTTAGATAAACTTACTTTATACTTGTGGTTCTTGTGTGTCTCCTGTGTTTTTTTTCTCCACCCAATCACTTGTCCAGGTGCCAAAGGAAGATAAAGAAAAATAAGATGCTTTTGAATCAGTTTATACTTGTGCTTCTTGTGTGTCTCCTGTGGGTTTTTTTCTCCACCCAATCACTTGTCTAGGTGTCTAAGGAAGATAAAGAAAAATAAGATGCTTTTGACAGCACAAGAAACTAACCCCTGAAATAAAAACAATCATACTAAACCCCTTGGAAACACTAGTGCCTTCAAAGGACTACTTAATTAACAGCGGATGACTAAGAAACTAACCCCTGAAATCAAAATAATCGTACTAAACCCCTTGGAAACAGTAGTGCCTTCAAAGGACTACTTAATTAACAGCACATTTGAGTTCCAATCCCAGAATTAGCAGCTGAGAAAGAAATATACTTCTACACTCAAATGAGTACATTTCTCAAATGAGTAAAAGTACAGTTAGGTTCAAAGAAGAGAATACAATAACCTTTCTCTGCATTAATCCCAGAATTAGCAGCTGAAAAAGAAATATACTTCTATACTCAAATGAGTACATTCCTCAAATGAGTAAAAGTACAGTTAGGTTTAAAGAAGAGAATACAATAACCTTTCTCTGCATTGATCCATTCAGGACAGCAGAGGCAAGACAGCAAGAACCACTTCAGCTAACCACATCTGAGTGAGCTGAGAAGAAACTGCACACCATCTGAAATTCCTTTGCTCACTTTACTTGAAGAACTCGGACATGACTGACCAGTACCAAAGGACATCTGATATTCAGTAAATTATAGGGGAGTCAAATTTTTTTTACCCATTCCATGTCCGCAAAACCACTCCCTGGACCAAGCACGCACACAGCAGAGACAGGAACAGCTTACCTGGCTCTTGGCTTGGTGCAAGAGAAGGTGTTTGGTGGGATGTGACAAGCAAGCACGTTACAAACAAGTACAGCTTTTTTGAGAAATAGATGTTTTCATGGAGTTTACTGGAGTCACCAGACCAGTCTCATCTACCTGATAAGGATCCTTTGAGAACAGACCTTCCTCTGTGACCGTTTCTGGCCAGAAGCCCATCGTTCATGTCATCCTCACACACACCCTAAGCTTCTGCACTCAGAAGGGGCAGGGATTAATTCGTTGATTCAGGGAGTGCCACCTGTGAGCACATGTTGCACACAGAGCCAGGGGTTGCTTCAC